GAAAGAGAAGGCGCAGAGGACAAAAACTGGACCAGCCCCTTCTTATAAAGAAAGTAAGGCTTCTGTAGAAGCCCCAGTCGGCAGACTTCTGGTCACGCCCAGGATGGGGGGGTCCGGTCCCCACCTCTGAAGCTCCTTCCCAAACCAGGACTTTCTGGCTTCTAATTTCACAACTTCTCTGCTGTTTTCAAAAAAACCTCTGCGCCCAAGGTCCATCCACCCGGCCACGGCCCCATGGGGCCATTTCACAAGTGGCCATCCCCGCTGAACTTGGAGGGGGAGGGGGAGACCGCACTGTCCAAAACCCGGGCTGGGAAATCACTGCTCTCCCGCCTTGTCTGCAGGGCCTCCTGAGCTCAGGTGGTGGGAGCTGGGACGGGGACCCGAAGGGTCTGCTCTCATGTCTGCAGGCATCTATCCCTCCGAGGGGCCAACAGACTCATCTTCGCGGGAAATTGACTGGTCTTTTTATTTTATTTTATTTTATTTTTTTAAAGTCTTTATTGAATTTGTTACAATATTTCTTCTGTTTTATGTTTTTTGGTTCTTTGGCCACAAAACATGTGGGATCGTAGCTCCCTGACCAGGGATCAAACCTGTACCCTCCGCAGTGGAAGGCGAAGTCTTAACCATTGAACCACCAGGGAAGTCCCTTGACTGGTCTTTTTAAACAAAGATCCAGCCTTTCCCCACCAGGGTCCTGGACACCAGCGTTTCCCTCTCCCCATTTTCTCTCCATCACTTTTCCAAGCAGCTGGGAGGAAAGAGGAGACCCCGAACATCCCTGGGACCCTTCTCCCCTATTCCCCTCTCCTGCTCTCAGTTTCCCTCCGTCTTGCTCCTCGTCCTGGCCTCTGCCGGTCATAGCCTCGTGTCCACCGACTTCCAGAGCATCTCTCCTGCGCCTGGGCTAGACAGGGGCAGCATGTCCACGCTCCTCCTGCCTCTGTCTTCACCTTCCCTTCGAGACCTCCGGGACCCTGGAGCTGGGGGCTGCCGTCCCGTGACGACCCCCCCCAGGGGCCTGCCCGAGCCCACGAGCCTCCCCTCATGCCCCTCCGCACAAACCCACGTCAACTGCCAGGGCGGCTCTGAGCCCGCTGCCCCGAAGGGGAGGCGGCCGTACCCCTCAGAGCCCGTCAGTGGTCACGGCACCTGCTGTGTGCCCTTGACGCCCTGCACAGAGCCTCTCCCCACCCTCTTTATCAATGGGGAAGGGTGGGCCCCCCTCGTGCTCTGGTCCTCCAGGGCCTGCTGGAACACAGACGCCAGGAAGGCCTCATGTCCCCAGCCCCTCACAAATGAGCACCTGGCGGGGCCGGGGGTGGTGGGGCTCAGAGAGGAGCCCAGTGGGCCCGGAGGTCTGCAGGCCCCCTCCAAGGGCAGCTGCGGGCGGTGGGAGACCCCCGCGCTGGGCTCTCCGCCTGCCCCAGGCCTTGGTCTCTGATCTGGGGACGGAACTTCTCTCTCTCTCCTGCCGCGGGCTCCTTCCACCAAAGTGCGTGACGCCTAAGGGCGCTGGACACATGAGTGTCTCCACGTCAGAATCCTTTCTCCGCCAGCGCTGCCACCTCACCCTGACATCCCCCAAATAAAACTTCTCCTTTCCCTCCGCGAGCAGATCAGTTCCCCATTCGCCGTGACCACACCACCCTCAACTTCTGCCCGGAGTTTCAGGTTCTGAGAGTTATTTTAGATCTTCCTCCTACGTGCCTGTCTCTCCGGACAGCCCGGCCGCACTGACCTGCCTTCCCCGAGCCTCCAGACCCACGGCGGCCTGGCCGAGGGGACTCGGCCCCCGCCCTCTGCCCTCCGCCGGCCCCTTGTCCCTAGGAGCCGGGGCGGTGCGTGCTCTTCAGAAGGTGCCTCAGTTCTGGGTCTGCTTTGATTTTAAAACATCTTCCTTGAGATAACTCACAGAGCATACAATTCACTCATGTAACATGTCCAATTTCAGTGGTTTTTAGTCTGTTCACAGAGCTGTGCAACCGTCATCACTGCCTAATTTTAGAACACGTTCATGTCTCCTAAAAGAAACCCTGTGCCCCTTAGCAGTCACACCCCACCCTGCCCTGGTCTCTTCCTGTCTCCTGGATCTGCCAGTTCTGGCTGGTTCACATAAATGGGATAGTATGAAACGCAGCCTTTGTGTCTGGCGTCTTACTCAGCATGATGTTTTCAAGGCTCATCCACGTTGTAGCACGAATTAAGACCTCATTTCTCTTTCTGGCGAATCATATTCCATCGTTTGGACTGTGAGGCAGCCTGGGGGAAACCCAGCCCCACCACCTACACGCTGTGGGTCTCAGCGAGTGACCGCCCCTCTCTGGGCCTCAGCTTGGATGAGGACAGCCACCTGGGCCTGGCGTGAGGATTCCATGGGGGATCTGGGTGAAGTGCCCTGCGTGGGCGGGAGGTGACTGTCCCCTTCTGCATCGTCCTCCCCACCGCAAGCGCCCGTGTTCCACACACAGCACCGCGTTCAGATCCTGCCCATGTCCTCAGCACCCTCCCTGTCATGTCCAGACACGAGGGTGTGAGTGGGAGGGCGGCCGTTTCTGGAGCTCTGCCAACCCTGAACAGGGGTGTCAAGAGCGGGCTGTGGGTGGTGCGTCTGGGAAGAACCGGGGGGCACCGGTCAGTGCCCCACATGCTTGCTTGGGTGGCTCATCAACCCGCAGCTAGCGTGGCCCCGCACGGGAGTGCGGGTGCAGTGGCACATCCTCTGGCGTGGGTTTGTCTTCTGTGCAAGCCGGGGTTGCATCTCTTACACAAGAGGAGGGGGCGGGGCTGACTTTGGGGGACCAGGCGTGGCCACCTTTGTCTTACGGCTGCCCAGGCAGGGCAGGGAGGAGGGGACGATGTCCCCTAGTATCTGTCAAGAAAGCACAGCTCTCCCGTGGCACCAGGGCAGACCTGGCTCTTTCTCCATCCAGCCTCAGAGCTGCTCCCGGACCAGCCCCAAGTGGTCACACCTCTGCTGGGCGGGCTCCCTGCCCCCGAACAAGCCGGGCCTCTTGGCAGGAAAAGGTCCCTGGGGGTCACATCCCACTTTGGACCCCTGCAGTCCCAGAACTGAGAAGGGCCCCCTCTCTGAGGCTCCGTCCATTTCTCTGTCTGTGAAATTATTGGGCGGCCTGGTGAGCTCCAAGGCCTGTTCACCTGTATGGCCCGCCTCCCACCCTCCTCTCCCAGGCAGCGAGGGCTTTCTCTGTGCCCTCTGTTGAGGGTCATGGGCTGAGGATGCTGAGGGTGCCCCCGGCCACACTGTGGACACATTGAGGGACAGGGAGGACAAAAGGGGATCCAGGGAGCCTGGTGGGGGGACCCTAGGACCTACCTTCCCCGCCTGGTGCCTCATCCTCTTTTAGTGCCTCTGGGCGCGGGGTGGGGGTGGGGAGGACGGTGTTCGAGGAATATTTGAGGCACAAATGAGGAGCAGGTGGGGTTTTCTTTTTGGGTGAGGATGGCCCTCCATCAGCCACTCATTCCAGAGCAGACACAGTAAAGCAGTCTCTGCAGAGCCTGTGTGTGGGTCCTGGACACTTGTACCCCAGGACAGGTGGGGGCAGGAAGCCATGGCCATGCATCAAGGGGTGCCCTACCTCCTGGGACACGTGAGCAGCTGTGATGGGGCCATGATGAGGGTGCAGGAGGGCATCTCCCCCAGAATCGGGGAGGGCAGTATGGGAAGGCCTCTTGACAGATTCCTGAGGCAGAGAGGAGCTTAGGGCAGGAGTTTCCAGGTAGGAGGAGCTGCATGTACCTGAGGGGCAGACTCTTTCTCAGGCGGGAGTGACAGCACCAGATTTGTCTTGCCGGGTGCTCTGCAGGTCCCCTGCAGGAGAAGGCCTGGGGGTGCCCCTGCTCCAGGGATAATAAACGGCCCCTCAGAGTGGGAGATGCATGTGGGCTTGGGATGGTCCATCTGGGCCTGCCCTGGTTGTGGCGCCGCAGCAGGCAGGCTGTTCTCATCACTCTCACGCACAGAGCTCGGCTGCCCACAGCTGCTCCAGGCCGAGTTCCCCGTGTGCACGGTGGAGTTGCCGGGGCATGTAGTCAGGGTACTATGCTTGCGGGTGATAGAAACCCTGCCCTGGAGCTCAGGAAGGACCCTGATGTGTTGGTTCAAGTAACAGGCTCCAGGAAGGATAGGGTGGGACTGGCTTCAGGGACCCTGGTCCAGCCATCACATGCTCAGGGCAGGCCCTCTCCACCTCTCAGAGCAGGCAGCCCCAAGCAGCTCTGGGGGTGCCTCCTGAGCAGAGCAAAAAGAAAGCTCCCCTTCTCTGGTCCAGTTCAAAAAATTCCAGGGAAGGATTGTGATTGGTCCAACCGGGTCACATGCCCTCCTTGTGACCCAATCAGTGCTGCCCACAGGCTTCCGAGCCGGGTGCCACCCTGGTGCGGGGGAGCGGCCTGTGACCGGAGCCGGGACTGAGAAGCCACAGGCCTGGCACCAGAGCAGCTACCCTGATGGTGCACTGCAAGTGCACTTTAAAAACTAACTGCTATCTTCCCTTACTTAAGAAAGTAAAAATAAAATGATAGATCCAGATATGCTGATAAGAGAAAGGAAGGTGAAGATAAAATAAAATGAGAATAATGAAACCTCTCAGAGAGTTGCATGAAGCTTAAATGAGGTCATGCAGCCACTCAACAAATACTCATTGAGGGTGTCGGCCACCTGAGGCCCTGGGGACGCGGTGGTGAACAGACAGACATGCCCTGCCCCAGGGGAGGGAGCCTAGGGAACCACAGGTAAACATGCTGTATGTGCAATGACGGAAAGACAGGCGCCTCGTGAGCTCACAGGAGGGCCGGGGTGTTCCCTATGGAGGGTGGGCCTGGGTACAGGCTCTGAGAGGGGGCAGCAGGTGGGCTATGACACCAGCGGCGCCCCAGCACAGGGCGGATACCCCACTACGGTGACCGCCACTATCGTTTTATTATCACCAGAACCTAGGAAATGGATCTAGCGCTCAGGGGAAGTTTTGCAGGAAAACCCTGAAAGTGTAGGCAATTATTACGTGCGCACATCCTTTGCCCATTTTTACTCTGTATGTCTGTATTCTCTACTCCTTTGTGGCAATTTTCGCATATGGTGCTACAGTCCTTTGTTACACCCCCTGCTCCCACCTCCACACCCCCGTTCTCTACTCTCCACCTGCCAACAGAGCATGAGGTACCCCACGGTCCCTTCCTTAGGTATTTAGTGTTCACCCAGCTACGTCTTTTGGGTGGGCTTTGTACCACTTCTGACGTTCACTGTTGCACTGTGATGTTTAAGAAAGAAACACGTAAGGATGTAAGAAACATCCTCTGGTAGATAAATCTGAGTGTAGGAATTGCTGGATCTGTTTACAGCTCTTGGCAACTATTGCTGAAATGCCCCGTGGGGAAATGTCACTCGGCCTGTGTACAAGCACCCTCACCCACACTGGACATCTTCACTTTTAAGTGTGGCCATTTCTCCAGGTGGGGAGCATATCTGGCTTTTTAGCCCACGGTCCTGTGATCACCAGTGAGGGTCCGTGTTTCCCACAGCCTTGGAGTCTAGTGCACTTAGGTGAGTGAAAGTCTGTGCAAACCTTCCTTTTCTGACTTCACCGAGAATCCCTGAGAGAACTGGGTGCAGGGAACAAACTGCCGCTGTGACCATGTCCGGTCCCCACAGGCACTGTGCCTCCACTGCCGCAGCTCTGCCACCCCGGGCCCTGAGCCACATGTGAGTCTTCCTGGGCCTCCCAGCAGCACCCAGCCCTCGAGAGGTGCCTCCTTGGTTCCTCCCTGCAATCTGGAAGGCAGATGGGCCACCCTTCCACGGCCTCCTTTCCTGTGACCGTCACCCAAGGCGTGGACAGGCTGGTAGATGGGTGGGCCAGGAGGTGGCAGGGTGTGACCAGCCAGATTGCAGGGCGGAAGCGAGCAGCGTAGGTCTGGCAGCACCGTGCAGCCAAGAGGCGCCCGGGCTGGGGTGCTGGGAGAACCTCTGGGACCCCCGGCGCCACCACCCTCTGTGGGTTCTTGGTCTCCCTGGGCCTGGGTTTCCTCATCTGCAGGAAGGTGGATCATTACCTGCCCCGGGGTTGTTCCGGGGGTTTGGATGAGAGCGCGTCTGAAGCACCTAGCACCGCCCCTGCGGAGGTGGGACGCCAGGTGGCTGCTCCCCCGCCACAGGAGAGCTCCTCTGAGAACACCTGGTCGGGGCTGCATTTGGCCCAGCCTGGAACTGGGATTTTAGCTGCCTGGCTTTGCACACAGGATATTTAACGGCTTTGCCCAGAGAACTTGACTTCACAATTCTCACAACGTGACCGTCATCCCGATTCCTGACAAAGCTTCGGTGTAGGTAAAAACAAATGACCTGGAGTCAAGGCTTGGGAGCCCCCAGAGGCATGTCCCAGGACTCCAGGATTCTGAGGAGCCCTGGGCCAGGTGGAGGGAGCCCCACGGAGGGATAGGGAGTCCAGCCTGGCGGCGTCTGTCCAGGCTCTGCCTAGCTGGCCGCTGTCCTGGCGCTCCGCCCCGATCCTCAGTCCCTACTCGGGCCGCGCCCACACCCGCACCCCGCCCACTCCCAGCCCCGCCCATATTCTTAATCCCACCCACCCACGCCCCTAGTCCCCTCCCACTCCCATGCCGCGCCCACATGCCGTTGCCCCCACTTCCGGGCGCACCTGCCGGCTCGCGACCACCAGCCCCCGCCACTCTCACCTGTGTTCCCCCGGCACCACCGCCACCGCAGGGGAGGACGCAGGCGGGGACCGAGGGTCCCTGGAGCAGCCCCACCGGAAGGGACAGGAGCTGCTGCATAAATCCGTGTCCTCCCGCCTCTCCAGCCCTGGGTGGACGGGGGCTTTTTTTTTTTTTTTCTTGCGTTATGCGGGCCTCTCACTGTCGTGGCCTCTCCCATTTGCGGAGCACAGGCTCCGGACGCGCAGGCTCAGTGGCCATGGCTCACGGGCCCAGCCGCTCCGCGGCATGTGGGATCTTCCCGAAACGGGGCACGAACCCGCGTCTCCTGCATCGGCAGGCGGACTCTCAAGCACTGCGCCCCCAGGGAAGCCCTGGACGGTGGCTTTTTTTTTTTTTTTCTTGCGTTATGCGGGCCTCTCACTGTCGTGGCCTCTCCCATTTGCGGAGCACAGGCTCCGGACGCGCAGGCTCAGTGGCCATGGCTCACGGGCCCAGCCGCTCCGCGGCATGTGGGATCTTCCCGAAACGGGGCACGAACCCGCGTCTCCTGCATCGGCAGGCGGACTCTCAAGCACTGCGCCACCAGGGAAGCCCTGGACGGTGGCTTTTGCTGGTTCCCTCCCTCCGGGTCTCACTTCCACTCCACTGCCCCGCCTTCTGGCCTTGACCGAACTCTGGGGGGACCAAATAAGACAGTGCCGGCCACTTGTTCACATCCTGCCCCAGGACAAAGCACTTCCCAGAGACTGTTTCCCATTCCCAGAATCCAGGTAGGAAGTTCAGCCTGCCCACCTGCCGGGCTGACTCCCCCTGAAGGGAGCCTGCCTGTGAGTGACCTGAGTCATGCTTTGGGGTCCTGTTTCCCACAAGGCGGCCTTACCCTCCCCAGAATCACATGGAGGAAAGGGCAGAGTGATGATTGTGTAATGCAGGCTCCTGGGGCTCCCAGCCCTTCTAATCCTATCTCAGGGCAAGGAGCCAGGCAGTGCCCGGCTGTGGAGCCTGACCCCAAAGGAGAAATCAGTAATGGCAATCCCGTCTTTATTTAAAGTTTTGATACTTTGCTCATAGGGATTTCTGTCATTTAATATTTTAAAATATTGGGTTAAAATGTGATTTATCTTGTATACTGAGGGTTTCTTTGGTGCCCGTTAAATTCTGTACCTCAGTACTTGCCAGGAGCCTTCATTTTCACAATCGCTCCAGGTGATTCTGATGTACATTAAATTTGAGACCCTCTGCATCAAGTGTGATAATTAATAACCTGTAGCAGCCCTCAGATGGCTGAGATCAAGACCCTCTGGAAAGGAAGGCATATAGTTAGAATGCTTTTGGTTGCAAGAAACAGACTCAGCTAAAACCAGCTCGAACAATAGGAAATGTATTATTGAACCAGCAGTTCCATAAGCATGGTGGGTTTCATGGTGGGTTTCAGGAAGCATGGTGGGATTCAGCAGCTCAGCAATGCTCTGAGGGGCCTCCGTCCTTTCCGTCCATCTCCCCCCCCCGCCCCACCCCGCATCAGCGTCATCCTCAGGGTGCTGGCCATGGGGTAGCTTCCTCTAGGCACGTGGGAGCCAGAAAATTCTCCAGAACCCCCTCTCCGCACATCCCACTGGCTGGAGTGGGATCACATGCCCACTTCTGAGCCAAGAACAAGCCACTTTCTGAACCTGCAGATGGACTGTGGCTGGCTGGGCAGGGTCCAGGGCTGAGCGGTACCCTGGAGCAGCTCTCGCAGGGATGTTTAGAATGGAGACCTACGCCAAGTGGTGGCTGAGCCTGTGAGGAGGAAGAGGGGCGAGTGAGGGGTGGGTGGGGGGCCAAAGGCCCAGGTAGGCAGGCGCCCCCGTAGACACACCAAGAAGGTATTTCAGAGCTGGTTGACAGGGCCCCTTGGTGACAGGCAGAGCTGCCTTTGTGAGGACAAAGGAAGGCACTTCTGCCCCCAATGCAGCCGCACCTGCCGTCCCTGCCTGTCCTCTGGGGTAGTGTACTCCCTGCACAGTCTTACTCTGCAGCCCTGAAGCCAGGTGGACAGGGTGACCTCACGGACCTCCCGCGCAGCCCTGCTGGTGTGTCTCTGCCTGGGGCTCTGGGTGGGCCTCCCCTTCTGCAGGAGGAGCCATCCCCGGATCGGGGTGGGAGGACCACTCTTGTGTGAGGGGCCGGGGGAAACCAAGAGATGCCCCCAGGCCTGGGAGGGCTTCACACTGGAGCCCAGGACTCTCTCTGCTCAGGTTTCTTTCCCTGCCTTCGTGGTCGACTCAAAGCCCCAGACTCTGGGCTTCCCTGGTGGCGCAGTGCTTGAGGGTCCGCCTGCCGATGCAGGGGACGCGGGTTCGTGCCCCGTTTCGGGAAGATCCCACATGCCGCGGAGCGGCTGGGCCCGTGAGCCATGGCCGCTGAGCCTGCGCGTCCGGAGCCTGTGCTCCGCAAATGGGAGAGGCCACAACAGTGAGAGGCCCGCATAACGCAAGGAAAAAAAAATAAAAATAAAAAAATAAAGAATCACAGAACTTGAAGATAGTCAACTGAAATTATCCAGTTTGAGAAGAAAAGGAAAAGAAAATGAAAAGAGCCTAAGAGACCAGTGGGACACCACCAAATATATAAACATGTATATAATGGGAGTCCCAAAAAAAAAAAAAAAAAAAAAAAAAAAAGCCCCAGACTCTGATGCCCACACAGGTGGCTGATGGCCAGGGCAGGATGCCGCCCACCTGGGCCCGGGTGCAGCCCATTTTCCCAGCTTCCTCTTTGTAGTCATCCCTCTCTCACTTACCACAGAAAGGCCGGTGTCTCCCCGCTGGGCCCCCCACGATGCCTCCTCTCCGCCTCCCCACTTGCAGCAAACACAGCTTCTTGCAGTTCGGGCCATTTCCAGTGTTCGCCACAAAACTGAAGGAGGCCTATGGACTTGGCAACTGACAGTCCTTAAAAATCGCTCTTGTGACTGGTCACCCCGGGGTTCGGGGCAGAAAACTGATGGAAGGAGGCTACGGTGGTGTCACTAGGGCACATCAGCCTCTGATCCTGATCTATTTACTTGTGTGATTGGCGTTTCTCACACTTTCACATTAAAAACCCACGACAGGAATGGGATTAATGTGGAACTTCGTCTTTTCCTGGCAATAAGTAATATGTATGGAAGGAGACACAAACTACTCCACAAAATCTGTCCATCCCTCTTTTTAGGAGAGCTATTTCTAATAAAAATTTACCTTTTATGTTTAATAATTCTCAGAATGTGTAATAAATTCACATGGTTTGTATCAGCTGCATACTACCAGTAATTATAATGATAACCCAATCCAAACTGGGACACGAGAGAATGTTTAAAATCTTGTTATTCCAACGTTTTTACATAGTTCTGTGTGATAGGGGAATCTAAATACGTTAGGACAAAATTCTATTGGGTGGAATGGAAATATACGGTGCGGGGGGGGGAAGGAGCTGTGTGAAAATTCAGGTGTCAGAGAGGAGGCTTTATATACATATATATTTTTTTAAGATTTATTATTTATTTATTTATTTTTGGCTGTGTTGGTTCTTAGTTGCAGCACGCGGGATCTTTGTTGAGGCACGTGGGCTCTTTTGCTGCAGTGCATGGGCTTCTCCACGTGGGCTCTAGCTGAGGAACGCCAGCTCAGTAGTTGTGGTGTGCGAGCTCAGTTGCTCCACGGCATGTGGGATCTTCCCTGACCAGGGATCGAACCCGCGCCCCCTGCATTGGAAGGCAGACTCTTTACCACTTAGACCCCCAGGGAAGTCCCTATATATTTTAGATAACAGTTCTTTAACAGGTATGTGTCTTGCAAACATCTTCTCCCATTCTGTGGCTTGTCTTTTCATTCTCTTAATAGTGTCTTTCACAGAGCAGAAGTTTTAAAATTATAATGAAGTCCACTTATCCAATTTTTCTTTCATGGATCAGGCTTTTGGTGTTGTATCTGAAAGCTCATTGTGTCAGCTAGGGAGCTGGTGAAAATTCACATGTTAAGAGTTCGTTCGCGTGTTTTTAAATGGACAGTGGTGCCTATCAAAACGCTATCACTTCTAGCCCATCAGCCACCCTTTTATTTCGAAATATTCATATTTAACAATATGTCAGATTTTATACTCTTGGCAGCTAATTTAAACTTCTGCCGAAGATTTTTACATATAACAGATACGTGTTTGAGGAAGTCCACCATCACTCAGAATTATTATTTTTTAATATTCATTTAGGCTGCGCCAGCTCTTAGTTGCGGCATGCAGACTCTTAGTTGCGATATGCATACAGGATCTAGGTCCCTAACCAGGGATTGAACCCAGGCCCCCTGCATTGGGAGTGCGGGTTCTTACCCACTGGACCAACAGGGAAGTCCCTCAGAATTATTTTTAAAGACAAGTGGTCTGCAGTGGCTGGTGGTCTGGACGCCCAGGCCAAGTTGGCCTGGTGAGACTCCAGCTCCGCCAAAGACCCAGGGGTTGTTCCTGGGCCATCTCCAGAGTGAGAAACCAGCCAATGGGAGGCAAAAGGGAGCCCAAAGTGTAGCGGCAGCGTGGGCATTCAGCCTCCACCCGTGTGGGTCTGTGTGGCCATGCAGCTGGTTGGAGCCTCAGTCCCTCCACCTGTAAAATGGGGGTTCCAGTAGCCTCTGCCTGGCAGATGGGTGAGAACTAAGTGGGAAAATGCAGAGCTTGTGCTCAGCTCAGTGCCTGCCCCCAGCAAACCCTCCTCAATGTGACAGCTCCTGCAGTGACTCACCATGACTGTGATGTGGCCAGACTGGCCTGGCTGTCCGTCTGACCCAGTCACCACAGGCCTCAGTCCTCCCAGGTGGGGACACGGGAGCCTCTGGGCTGGCTCGGGACCTGAGCGTGGTCTCTAATGATTGCAGTTTTATTCTTGGTGTTTTGGGATCTGTCATGTCTCCAGTGGTGTTCAGCACCCTGTTTAAATCAGTGACAATGCAACTGATAATTTTTTTTAATATTTATCTATCTATTTATTTATTTGGCTGCACTGGGTCTTAGTTGTGGCATGTGGAGTCTTAGTTGCAGCATGCGTTTAGGATCCAGTTCCCCGACCAGGGATCGAACCCTGGTCCCCTGCATTGGGAGCACGGAGTCTTACCCACTGGACCACCAGTGAAGCTCCTGCAATTGCTAATTTAACACAAAGAACTGACAACGATGTGCTGTTTGTAGGTAGGGGTCAAGGTGCAGCAAACCTCAGGCTGGACCCAGCTTCTGCTAATGCTCTGTGAGAATCTGGTGCCTGTCCGTCGGTCCACCTCCCTACCTGGCCGAAAGCCCCTGAGGCTGGCTTCAGGCTGTCTGTTTGATGCTCAATGCTCCACCTAGCCCACTGGTGCCATGCTAACATATCTGAAATCTAGAGGCATCTTAGGATTATAAGGGGGAGAGTGTTCTCTTTTCTTAGTGGCACTTAAAATGATGGTGCATCTTAAAATCTGTGGTGCCTCAGAGTCCATGAAGTAAGGGAGCCGGTATGAATAGACACTGATGTATGAAGTCTGGAACACTTGCTTTTAAATCCACGTTCTTCTGTGACACGGGTTCAGGACCCTTTGCTCTTCCCCCAGGACAGGAGGGGGCCACACCTGATCACATTCTGAAAGCCAGGGGATGGGAGATGCCAGACATTTGTGTTCCAAGTAATCCTTCACCACACCCCTCATTTCCACAAGGACAGAGGCCCAGGAGGTCAAGGGACTGGTGGGGGCCACATGGCTAGTTGGTGACCCAGCTGACAGACCCCGGAGCAGTGCCCTTGGGGGTGGCCACCAGGATGGGACAGTGGTGCCCCCCCCCGAGCCTTGCATTGCGTTCCCACCAGCTTCCTCCGCCTAGCTCGCCCCAGTGGGCAGGGCTCAGTCAAGAAGGATATTTTTGGGCACATTTGCTGTATTTTTGTACTTGGGAATTGGGGACCTTGGACCTTCGCATGCAGATTTATGCCAAATGAGATGCAAACCAGGGCTGTACTGTTCTGAAGTTCTGCCCCCGCTGTCTCCTAAGACCGTGACCTTGGGACCCCAGCTTGTCTCTAAGAAACAGTCTGTGTCTGTTGGCAGAAGAAGGAAGGGAAAAGGCCCCGATTTTGCTAAAATGTACTAACCGGGCAAATGCACCAGATATGCCGCAAAGCCCTTAG